AGTTGGTATACCTGCAGGGGATACATTTAAAGTTGATTTCCAAAGTAACAACCTATAAGGTAGTAAAAAGTAATAAGTTGATCGTTCATAATGTATAAACAATAGGTCAATATTTTCATTTTTTCATTTTTTTCTGCTGTTGCGATTCTATGCCAACTTTTTTGTGATGAAGTATATAGAAACTCACACAAGTCCCCTTTTTTATCTACCCAGCATCATTTTTGTTACCACTGGGACCACCATTGGACGATAGTATGTACTTAACGCGATGACCGAACAATACTATCAAAGAATACAATATTCTTTAATAGTATATATAGTATAGTTATATTGTAAGAAAATTAAAAATAATTATATTTAATTGTTAGTGTCTAAATACGTGTGTGCCTTCAGAAATGCGTTTTTTATACATATATATTTTAAAAAGTAGAAGAAAATCAAAACGAGTAGATGATAAATCCAACGATGATCACCTGTAACAAAAAGAAAACTATATTAGTCATACAGTCAAAAGAGATACAATAGCCTGACATATAAATCGTCCAATTTGCAGATGCACTTTTCAATTTAATTTTATATTTATTTGGATCAAATCTCTATTTATCGTTGCAATGAAATTAAATTTAAACGCGTGATTTTACATTTACGTTACATATTTTTTAAAAAAAAAAAAAAAAAAAAGGAAAAGTACAAATATTAAGTTACTAACAAAAATATAATATCTATTAATTAATATGAACTACTTTCAAACTGCAATATATAGAAAAGAAAAATTGCAAATTTAAAAATATACGATCACATTGAAAAATCTTAAAGACGAAACAAGAAAAAAGAAATTACTGTAATATTTACTTCAAAATTTAATAATACGAAAATTGTAATATTTTTGACTCTACATATGCATCTTTTTGACGATTAGGACACGAATTTGATGTCCCAAGGAGATGGAATGGTCCATCATCTCCAATTACAACTACAAATTAATGACGAGCAAAAAAGTAATATAATAAAATATAAAATATGACTAAAGAGCTATTCGCAAAAAGTTCGAAC